CAATCGTCGAGCGCCAAATCTACTTGAGATTGACGCGTGTCATTCAACCCAAGTCTTCTCCTGCCATTATAATGTATGGCTGGGTTGGACATATCGGGAATCTGCTTTGAGGAGTCATTCTTTGCTCTCCTCGAGTGGTGTCGTCGTTCCATTGGATCTTGACATGCTGTAGGGAGCCTGCATCATCGACGAGTTAGCTTTGGTCCAACAACCAAATTTCAGCAAGCAGTTTGATACTACTTACAAGAACTTTTTTGGCATTGCAGATTCTCCAAGCCAGGTTTCGCACGTTGCCATCGGCCTTGACAACCTCAGCTGCTAACTCGATACCGAACCTGTGTGACGAAGGGGTCAGAATATGATACATGATTGGAAGGATCATCAAGAAAGAGAACTTACATCTGATGGACAGCAAAGACAACACGCTTGGCAAACTTGCCATCCCGTTCCACAAGGGTACCGAACTGCTCATCAACGGTCTCCGGGGCGATTTCAGGATCACGATCGAAGCAGTTACGGACAACGGGCAACAAGGCATCCTCAACAGCCGATTCCACGAAAGAATCGCCGTCAGAAATGGTTTCATCTTCGTCCGACCGGCGAATACGAATCTCAAATGGCCTCGAGATGGCCATGACGTTGTGCATACCGTTGTGGTGGTAGCGGAGTTCAAAGACACCCTGGGTCCAGAAGAGCTTGTCGCCAGAAAGAACGATCTCACCAGATGCGAACTCGCAGGGTTCCTGGCCCTGACGCTCGGACGACGGGATAACAACATCACTAGTGAGGATACCCTTTTCGCAAGTCGAGTTGTCGTATGCGCCTTCGTTGGTTGCGACCCAGCGGCCTTGCGATGACACACGAGTGACCTCTCGCGAGGTATTGTCAGTGACGCGGTAAAGACCAATCCAATCCTTCTTGCTGTGGTGGAGCGGGGCAGTCCATTTGACCTTGATCGGGGAGCCGTATTCGAATGTCAAGTCCTTGAGATCACCACGGCGGTCCAGGGGCATGCGTGCGTTTGCACCTTCACGACCCTTGTTCTTTTCACTCTCCTCGAAGGACAGAGCACTGGTACCTTCAACCGACAGAGAATAATCGCGGACGTCGAATCCAGCTAGGTCCGCATCGATTCGGGAGATGGTGACACGAGCAGGGTACTTCTGGAAGAGCGCAGTGGTATCTTTAACAAAGGTGTTGACTCCCGCGGCGAGTTTGGGTCGGGCATTGTCAAGCATCTCCTCAATGAACTCAAAGGAGTCATCGAACATTTTGTCAACACTTCCGTGCAATTGCTTGAGAGAGGGTGGCAGGGAGCGCTTCAGACTCTTAACAAGACCCGCATCCTGACGAAGGCTACGACCGTAGAGCTTCTGCATGTGAGGACGTTCGACGAATTGAATGAAAGCCAAACTCAGGATGTGGCTCAGCAAGGCGAGGAAAGTGACGGCTCCGCTACTGGTAATGAGAACAGCACCCCACACGCCTGCGAGACCTAGAACGCGCTCTGGGTTGTTGAGGAAACGGTAAATGCCGTTGTAGGTGAGCTTTGGAGAGTCATCGAAGAAGAAGTCCCCGTAGAACCAGCCAAATTCACCAAGAGACTCGTAGATGCTGACCGAAGTCCAGATTTGCAGACTAATCAGGCCAGCTCCGAGCACATGTCGGAACAGAACCAGACCATAGCCCCAATCTGCTGGGAATGTGTACATCTTCCACACGGCAGCAATAAAGCTAGAGTAACACAAGATCATGCTGAGATGATAGGTGCCCTTCCATTGGTTCCACGCTTCCTGCGGCGTGTCGCCATACTTGACGAAGTGCCTTGTCCAAGACTTGGTGTTGGATTGGTTCCGAAGGATATACCCAATACCTACGGAATACCAGATTCTGGAAGCCGCAGCGAGGACCACAAACAGCAATTGATACCATGGTGTAGAGGGTGTCAGAGCCGTAATAGAGAATACAAGAAGTTGAACCAGCATGATCGATGAATCCGTGGTTCTATACAAATCCAGGTTGTGCAGCCCCAGGAGGTTGTGGACGGACTGCGGCGGCTTGGCCGAATACGAAGATGTCGCGTTGGGAGTCTGGTCTTCAGACGGAGTTGGCGCTGTCGGAGTGTCTAGATCGGTGGGCAAGCTGGAAGAAGAATCCACATAGGTAGAAGAGCGCTTTCTGGGTGGTGGCGGGTTATAAGTTTTGTCGATGTGCGGGTTCTCCACAAGAACGAGGAAGACGAATTGTGCTGCATGGGCAATTATCGAGATGAGCAACACTTTATAGCTAGCTGCCATCAGAGAGATTCCGTAGTAGCCCGCATAACCAACCGAGTACATGGGATGAGGTGCCATTTCGAACACGCCATCGAAAGTCAATTCTTGGTCAATGAGGTAGAAGAAATCACCCCAATACCAAGCATAGTCCTTGACCACTCGATGCGCATCTAGTTTGACCCAGAGGTTAAACAGCACTAACACGATACCTGCGGACCACCGGAGAACAGTCATGAGAATACTCTCGTCAACGGGTTGGTGGCCACAGGCTATCGCGAAAAGGCAGTAAGAAGTGAAGTCACACATGAGGATCAGATCCACAAGACGCCTAAAGACAAGCCAGGTGTTGTATTCAATTGGAGCATTGTCGAACGAGTAATCCTGCGGGATCTTGGTCTCCAGTTCCCGTTTGATCCAATTATACAAATTAGGGTGAGGGTTTTCCCCAGTGGCTGGGTTGACAAATACTTTGGTCTTCTCCGCCCATCGAATTAGTGTCTTGTGGTGCGACTGATTGTGAAGCAGCCACCCAATTCCTGCATTGTAAGCCAGGCGCCAGAACAGGTAGGTGGCTGCAAAGACCGGGATTTTGGCCCATGCAGGGAGTACCCAGAGAAACAGAATATGGCCCGCCAATAGAATCAACACCACAAGATCACCAAAATTCTTTGGCTCAGATGGCAAAAGTAACTGGGAGACCATGTCATGAGTCTGAGGGACCGTAAACACTATGATACGTCGGACCCGGTTAGCAGCGGACTCTTGACAAAACACCCAAGGGCGGGGGGTGAATCCAGTTAAATCCTGTATTCAATTGCAAATATAATTAACACACAAGCTTACCTGTTCCATCGGGAGTTCTCCCAAAGGTCTTCAATTCTTTGCCATCTTTATCTTTGATCTCCATTTCCCCAATGGCTGTTAAAGCCTCGCGACCGACTGTTGAATCGACGCGTGTATTTCTCTCACGTAGCCCATCAATATCTTGATGGGCCCCTGTTGAAAGGCCTTGATCCATGGTGTGCCACTTTACAAGGGTGTTGAGAGAGAGAAAACTGTTGAGACAGAATGTGACGACAGAAGCATGTGATAGTCGAAAAAGCGGAACTATGCTTAGTCAGTGAAAACAGTAGCCCTAGAGAAACGGAAACTGGTCCTTTGATGATTTGTCCTCCTTGGTCCTGACAAATGGGAGGTCTTTTTTTTTTTTTTGAGAAGGACAAAGGAGAAGAATTTACCGAGGAGACCAATTATTATTTATATCAATCCCATCAAAGAGTGGAACCGTTGAGACTCGTGAATTCAAGAGATGCGGGCCTCCGAATGGAGGGGAAGGGGAAAGAAATGGGGGTCTTTGATCAACCAACGCTAAGTGGGTTTAGCCTGTTTCTTCGCAGTTGTTGGGAAAGACTTTGTCTGATTCTATTTTGAATAGGCTTTTGAACACCCACGTCTCCTGTCTATCCATTCCTCTCTTGCCCATGGGTATACAACACTGATCAACAGCGGGGTATCGTGCAGTGCGGTAAGTGCGGCAGCCTGTGCGAGTTGTGCGCTCCAATAGCACATCTATGGATACCGTGTACACCTACCGCCTGCTTAGATTGATACGCGCATTTCCCTTTGAGCTCGAGCCTCGTATATAAAATGCATTGTGATCGAGTCTGCATGTTCCAGGGCGAATGGGATGATCCATCGTGGAGTACTTGACAACATCCAATCCAAATCCCTGGGAGTTGACCACCAGCATTGAAATCCCTTGTTATGTTGTACAGGTACTGTTGATGTCAATGTATTCAAGATTGATAATGGATACTCATAATAGTGCACTGCCTACCTCACTGGGTTGTATTTACTACGCGGTATGCAACGAGGGATGATCCAATTTAAGCTCCAGCCCAGGATCCCCGCTTCTTGTCATAGCAGCATGCTGGATGCAGCCTTTCGGAGGTGCTAGATCAAGACTATGGCCCTGGTTAAGTGCTGACAGGGCCCGGGTTATTTTGTGCCTGTGAGGTATTTATTGTCGAGTATTTTTCATGTGGGTAGGACTTGCATAACTACCTAAAATGTACGAAGTCGGTAGAACCCGCCTCGACCTGAATAGGCCTATAAATTAGTGACAGGCACATGTCCTTCGGGATGTTGACATCTATTTCGGCTTTTGGGGGTCCACCTCAAGTAACTCACAACATCAGAGCCCTTAAGCTCTGGCCTATACTAGACATATTCAGCTAAGGATTCTCGCGCTGGCTCGCGCGCCTAATATAGTTTAGTCGATTTATGCATACTCCATTTCTTGGCATTTAGCCCATTTATATGATTGAAGAGATTATTTGTATAGGAAAAAAAAAAGCCTCCAGTTTTGACTTGACGTTTTGTGAGGGCACCAAAAATGGCTTCACTGCACTCCATGAAAGGGACCTAGCTTGCCTGCGGTCCAGTCACGATGGCGCCAGCCTACCTACTGCGGCCCCTTTCTCTTATATTCTCTTCGTCTTCCCACCTTTCCTGCTCCCTCAATCGCGAGTGTACCTCTTCCCTCCTGTTACCGTCGGCCCTTCCTTTTATATTCTTCGTTCTTATGCCCTCGTTTCTGCTCCCCCGGTCCTGGGTGCATTTCCTTAGTGCGCTACCAGTCACTTGGCCAGATCGTGACTTCGGGGCCTTATTCCCTCCCGCCTTCGCACATTCGCCGTCCCTTCACTTCCGCTGACCTCGACGATGAAGCGTTCTCGACGCAGGCGGGATAGAAAGCTGGAAATCAACTTTGGCGAGGACGACATAACTGCGACTACTACTAGCGACTCAGAAGAGCAGGGCGATGCTACATATGAGACGGATCTGACGGAGCCGGACGATGTCCCAAGCTCGCGAAAGCGTCTCCGGTCAGATGAGAGCCTTGTCTTGGAGCAAGAGCTCTCTACGAAGTAAGAGAGTTCTATGATCGTATCTATCGACTAATCAAGGAGCCTCGACCAGAGCCTTCGCCCGACATTTCGCTCAGCCGAGTGGCGCCAAGAAAAGCTGCGGCAAGCCGTTCCACAGTATATGGATGCACTCGGTTCTCCCATATACTGTTGCCGTGCTCGCCCAACCAAAGCATCTTGATCAAACCCGTTTCAATAGCCTCGCGGTCTAGTAGATACACCACAACCTGAAACTCTAGCTCTTTAAGGGCTAAGGCTCTATCTTCCTCGTCTTCTAGCTCCTCACATTGGGCCCGAATCTCATCGTCATTCTGGCACGACCGGTATTTAAGGACACCTCTTTCGTTATCAATGCCCATAAAGTCTGTGATACCTGGCACTCGGACGAGAATCTGTCGCCAATCGTCAAAGGCGTAGCGGTTACTATCGTCGAGATACCGATTAGAACCGATCTCAGGTTCGATCTCGCCCTCGGCCCTTATATCTTCGTATTTTTCGCTTAGGTCCTCATCGTAGCAAGTCCGAAGCCAGACTGTCTGCATGCTACCTTCTTGATTTGCACAAATATTTCGCTCGTGGATTGACTGGTGAATGTTTAAAATTCGGATCTGCTCACTTGTAAAATCAGGCGAGTTTATCTGAGCAAGGACCAATCTTGCCCTATCATGATATCTCTAACTGAATGTTAGTATAAAGTCGAGGAACACGGCTGGGAAGCCAGACAAATCGATCGATAAGCGACAACTCTTGGTATTTCCACACTAGTTGCTCCCATTGCTGGGGGCTCTCCTTTATTCCCTCGGGCCAATGTTCCTGTTTATCATTAGTTGACATAAAATCTTCAAGGAGGGAGTGGGCGTACTATCACATAGTAATCAAATGGCAAGGCACCGTACTGGGCTCCCTCCTCCAAGTCTTCCATTGTGAAAACTGCCTTCCCGGTAAATCTTTTGGGGGCCAAACAAGGGTATGTTTCGAGGTAAATGAGTGTGCGTGCAACGCGGAATAAAAGGCAAGGGGCGAACCCCGCGCTAATAACATAGGTGCATACATACATAACAACATTGATCGTGTCCATGGATGGATGTCTTGCCCCACCGGGGTTGCTGCCTCGTTGTTACATAAGCCAACTGCCGTGGACCCCTTGGGACTGGGGCCTGTGTTCTTGTGTTTCTTCTCCTCTAGACACCAGACCACTCGCGCGTAAGGAAGATGAATGTATTTAAAGTATGGATGAGATGGCGACCTCTCAACCCAAGCGAGGCCGAAACGGGAGAAATCCAGCGGGAATATGGCCAGCATCCCAACAATCCACAGTCATGCATCTCCATTACTTCACCTTTACAAGCTAAAGCGCTTTCTACCCGAGAAAAATCCTGGAAGAGTGGATTCTCATTTGATGGAATCATTGAATGTGATGATAACAACCACTTGGTATTCAACCGCGTCGTTGCACCAATCATCCCAGAGGTTCTGGAGGGCAAGTCTTGCAACTTTTTTGCATACGGCCACTCAGGCAGCGGCAAATCCCATACCATGATTGGCTACGATTTTGAGCATGCCGATGAGTTCGGGCTTTGTTTAGCTGCTGCACGTCAACTGAACATTGCGCTAGAAGACATCAATGTGGAGGACAGCAAGCATGAATTCGGCATTGGGCTCCGTGTATTCGAATTACGGAAGAATATCGCGTTCGATCTTCTCAATGAGCGGAATGAGTGCTTTGTCCGCGAGGGATCCGATGGCCGGGTCTACATCCGTGGCGAAACAGAAATGCTGGAAAATGGAAAAGTGAGAGTCCGACCAATCGCTACGAAGGCGTGTTGGAGCTTTGAAGAGCTGCACCGGGAGCTACAAAAAGGCTTGAAACATCGCAAGACTGCGACATCGACAGTGCACGATCAAAGCTCACGCACGCATGCCGTGATTGAACTAGAAATCATCACCAAGGATCTTCTCAATGCGCGTGATCATGTGGTTGAGCGGCAATCTGAGCTTGTTCCTGTGGGGAAACATGCAACTGATGTTTATATCGAAGAACAATATCGCGCGATTGTCCAGACTGAAGAGGGGAAATTCGTTCCAAATCCTGATTATCAAGTGGATCAAGCACGCGTCGATGCCGCAGAAGCAAAAAAAGCCGAGTTTGAATCTCGCGTGAAAGAAGCAGAAGAGCATGAGTCTGAAGTTTTTGCAACTACCGCTCAAACACATCGATGTATTGGTGGGAAACTTGTGTTCGTAGATCTGGCCGGCGCTGAGTTCCTTTCCAGCACGACTGGGTCTGCGCTCAAACAAACCCCTCAAGAGAAGCAAGAAGGGAGGCAGATAAATACTGACCTTCTCGCGTTGAAAGAAGTAATTCGAGCCCGATCGAGCAAGAAATCTCGTATCCCATACCGTTCCTCTCCATTGACTATGGTGCTGCGGGAGCACTTCGAGGCATCAACCGATACCCATTCGGCCATGATCTTGACTGTCTCACCAGAGGCCAGTCAATATACTGCAACGACAAATACACTAAAATATGGAGATCTGGTTGGCTTGGCAAATGGACATAAGAAATAGATAGGTATGCATCATCCATAGTAGTTTGTTTTGGAGGCCGGGTTCTCCAACCATGCTTTATTCTCCTGTTGATTTGCCTATTACTATACGATATACCGCATTATTCTCCATTGTTTTATAGCTTCAGCTAGCATAGCGATCATATCAAATGAAATATTTCACTCTCGATTTTCATACACTTGCGCCTACAAGGGCTCCGACACCGCAGATATGCCTTGCCCCGCCAATCGCAGCGGGTTTTTAGTCATCCCCGCTTATCAAGCATCAATCCGCCACCGGACGTCGAATTTCTCTGTTTCTTGCGACTGCATAACATTTATCTTCTTATTTTCCGTTGCTTGCTCTCATTTCCATTGCCACACAGAGCAGCAATATAAAATGGCGCCCTACGTGGAGGAGTTCGAGGAGTCTCTGGCGGTGTCGTCCAAGGTGACGCCCAGCCTTGTCGCTCCCGAACCAGGTACGCATGCGCAGAATCATTGACATAATACACACACTAACTCTCCACAGAACACTGCCCAGGCCCTGAATCCGAGCAAGCTGGCCAAGGCGATGCCTGTGCCGGTTGCCCAAACCAACAGATCTGCGCCACCGCGCCCAAAGGCCCTGACCCCGACATCCCGATCATCACCGAGCGACTCTCCCAAATACGACACAAGATCCTAGTCCTCTCCGGAAAGGGAGGAGTCGGTAAATCTACGTTCTCAACCCTCCTCGCGCACGCCTTCGCCGCCAATCCAGACTCCACCGTCGGCATCATGGACACCGATATCTGTGGGCCGTCGATCCCTAAGATGATGGGTGTGGAATCTGAGACTATTCACATCAGCAACGCCGGCTGGAGTCCCGTCTGGGTGACAGATAACCTGGGCGCAATGAGCGTGCAGTTCATGCTGCCCAACCGGGACGATGCGGTGATCTGGCGCGGGCCCAAGAAGAACGGACTGATCAAGCAATTCCTCAAGGATGTGGACTGGGGCGAGCTGGATTACCTGATTGTCGATACGCCTCCTGGGACCTCTGACGAGCATCTGTCCGTCAACTCTTTGCTGAAGGAGTCTGGCGTTGACGGTGCCGTTGTCGTGACTACCCCGCAGGAGGTCTCATTGCTGGATGTTCGCAAGGAGGTCGACTTCTGCCGCAAGGCTGGAATTAAGGTCTTGGGCTTAGTGGAGAACATGTCTGGATTTGTCTGTCCTAACTGCACCCACGAGTCGCAAATATTCCGAGCGACAACTGGCGGAGGTCGCCGGCTGGCGAAGAAAATGGGCATTCCTTTCCTAGGTGCTGTGCCTCTGGATCCCCGCGTTGGCATGGCGTGTGACTTTGGCGAGAGCTTTGTGGATAACTTCCCGGACAGTCCCGCGTCCAAGGCAATCAAGCGCGTCGTGCGCTTGGTGGGACAAGCGGTTGGGGAGAACCCGGATGATGTTCTCCCAGAGGATATGATTGATTAAAGTGAATTTTCTTTTCGGCTTATTTACACAGCGCGGTGCATATGGGTAAGGTTTCTGCGGAATACCTTGGCGTTTGGGACATACATTGCATAAACCATGACTTGATATGATTGGCCAAAATGGCAAAAGAACACATGCATATTCACCACAAATTTAGATTCACATCTCAAGTAATCGCTTTCCTTGGCCCTTAATAGGCCGCATATACCAAAGCCAATTGATCGATTTCATCCTCGGCTTGTCCCATGAAACCGACAACCGCAAAGCCATCGGGGGCAGTAAACGTCTGACAATTATCAGTTGAGGTGCCCGCCTCCAAGGTCTTACCAGCGCTGGTGGTAGCCTTGATATAGAAGTTACGAGTGTGGCTATTATACTGCCCAGTACAGAGCTTGGTCTCCGTCCAATGCTCCCCAGAGCCCAGGGTAAGGGAGACCTTAGTGCCACCAGTTCCTCCATGGCTAAACGATGTGCCATCGTTCAACTTCAAAGCAACACTATCCAGCCTCTCCGCACCAGAGAAAGTAATCACAGAAGCAGCAGGCGACGAAGGAATACTCGGCAGATCATTAAACCACGCCCCATGCGGACCGCCAGAGAACTGACTTTGTCGCAGCGACGACGAAAGCGACCAGGTGAAGTTCACAAGAACCGGGTTGTGATCCGAGAGAACAGCGCCCAAATACTTGGGGTCAGTGTTTGTGAACTTCCCACCGTCATAGACGAAGCTGTCTGCCTTGAGGGTCACAACATCGGACCCTCGGTACAGCACTTTGTCGACCGTCTCGCAGGTCTGGACAGCAGATGGGTTGTCACATAGCAAGGCATCTGCCCCAGCATTTGGGTAGACACCATCTTTCTCAAGCTCAACCCAGGGGTCTGCGAGGCTATTCTGAGATTTGAGGACGCGAATGGCCGTGTCTTCGGCGCGCGTGTATCGACTGTTCGTATCACCCATGACCACGACGGCATTACCAGTCGACCAGGTGTCAATGTAATCTGCGACTTGCTGCAAATTGGAGTTTCGGGCAGTTTCGTCGTCATCCTCGGTGCTTGGTGGGAGTCAGTCCTTAGATCGACTACAATGTGAGAATGGCTTTTACTCACCCAGCGTCGGCATGGACGTTGTAGAAGTCGACGTAGACTCCATCGGCCGGGTTCCAGCGCATGAATGTGAGGCCCTTCGGAGTCAAACAGTCTGAGCCGGATGCATCGGAGCATTTGTTCCATTTCACGCGTGTGAAATCTACCCAGTCGTGGTTGGAGATGGTGTTCAGACCACTTCCGATGGCTGCGCCGCCGGATGTAGCGGTCCGGTAGGCGTGGTTATCTGTTTCGTAGATGTTTGCATGGTAGTTGAAATCCTAAGGCGTGATTAGATCAATTGATATATTAGAAGACTAGGTTTGGTGGTACCTCCTGCATATTGATGATATCGTAGCCATACTGTGAGAAGTAGGTGCCGAGCTGCTTGGCATTTTCGGGTTTTGTGCCATTGACATCGTTCGATTGTAAGATTGATGGCAGACCTGCGACGTTGAAGCTCAGCGCAGTAAATTTACCGCTTGTTGCAGCTGCGCTGGCTATCGCCGGCAGGAGAACGCTTGGGAGGATGGTCTTCATCTTGAAAAGAGGCTGTTCAAAGTGCGATATATCTTAAAGCAATCAACAAATTGGGCTGTGGACAAGTTTTCAAGGTGATTGGGAAAGTATATATAGGACTTAATCACTCTGTGGCATTAATCCAACTAAATGATACGGATCATTCTAGGTAGCGATCTACGAGCTTTAATATATACAACAGCAAGTTTTACGCCAAGAATAAACGGTACAATATATGCCAAGGCACATGTGCAGTTGATTGACAATGATTGGCATTGTCATTTCCGCTTTCCTCTCTCTTATGCGTGTGAGACAGGGGAAGCCTCGGAGAAATGGCCCTGCAAGTCCTGGCGTCAAATCAAGTTCGGGGGTAGTACTCCGTATGTAGATTAGCTCAATTTCTTTTGATAGTATCAGTCTTGGCTTACTTGCATGTTCTTTAATATACTTGGAGCACAATATGCTAACAATAATTATGCACATGGTTTTTAGTCTCGGCAATTAGACATCTTTCAAGATGAAGTCTCAGTGTAGCTCAAAAGGTGACACGCATCCAAGGTCAGATACAATAACCAACATAAAACATTGTAGGCAACAATAGCAGACACCATTGGTTTGGTATGGATGTAAGTTTGCAGCCAAGTCAACGTCACAGCGACAATGCCCTAGGTCCGGAACTTGTTGGAATAGAGTATATACCGGCTAATAATCTCCTCTGCATCGCTTAGCCTGAAATGTGACAATCTCGAATTTCTAAACTAGTTCGCTTTTGGCGTTGGTCCCGTAGATATCATAACATCGGTATTCTGGCAGTTTCTGCCAGTCGACTTCGTCTATGCTCTTATTTTGGTCTACAATGTTCTCTTTGTTGACAATCGTCTATGCAATTGCTATTCTCGTCGCACTTGTTGTGCTCGTTGTTCTCAGTGTATTCGACTTCAGCTTCTTTGTCCACTTTCTATTTAAATCGTGATCTCGGCTTTCATTATCATTGTCTGTCTTGTTCGAGTGCTGATATTTTTGTCGACTCTTTGTGCACATGTTTCTTTTTTTTGTCCCCTTGTTCCCTTTGTATATACTTGAAAGCGATACTACTCACGGTCAAGTATGCGCCACCTACTCAACTCACATCTATATAATCCTCGGCCGCTCTCGATATCATAGAGACAAGTACAAGTTCATCATTCATCAGTCAATACTCCACTCAACTCCACTCAATAGTCGATACTCTAGTTTTATATATTCCGATCCAATCCAATATACTCACAGATATGCCAGGTTGTTGTCCTTGGAGTTGTTTCGGCATCTGCCGCCGCCGCCGCCGCCCCAGATCTCCCGGCTTTGTCTCTCCCCCTTCAGGCGATGCTCCTATAGAGCTACAATACATAGCCCCCCTGCTCCGGTAGCCCTGCACATCCCCGGCCCTGTCGTCCCTGCCAATAACCCCGTTTTCCCATCCTCTCAGCCTGGATCCTCCCCCTCCACTAACCCAAACGATTATCAGTACGGTGAGCGGGAGATGTGGGGAAGCTTGCGACAAAGATGGATCGATGATGCAAACGAGCCCAACTGCACAGTGCAGGCACTAGATTTCGAATTTAGAGACTTGACCCATGCTAAACACAGGTCCCAAAGATGGACATCAAATTTCAACCGCTGGGGCCCAAGACCCGCCGCTCTTCAAGGTGACCTTGAGGATTGTGGACTCCCTGTAGGTAATGAAGATTACCACGATATCAAGATCTCAAGGAACTCGGTCACTCCGCACCCGAAAAGAGGAATGGGAACTAACTTTTATCATATCTCGACTGCAATGGGAGTTATTGTCCTGAGAAATGTTGACAAATACGATGGACCTTGGTGGAGTCAAGTTGCCCTTGCACAGTACGATATTCACTTCGCCCGGAATATCTTGAGACACGTTTACCTCGAAAATGTTGTCAACGAGGACACCAGGAACTTTATACAAACAATTTGGGCTAACACTCAACCACCTAATTCCCAAGGGTTTGATCGATCTCCAGCATCAGTAACTCCAGTGGCCTGGAATTTTGATACCCCCGAATATAAGGCCATTCTGGGCACAGAGCTTGGGAAAGGAGTGGCTGCTATTGTTTTGTCGGCATTCCCCAGAGGTACACATCGTATCACCAGAGTCGTTGTCTGGAAGAAGTCTATCATGCAGATACGATTTGATATTGAAAACAAAGCTTACTTGTAGGAACCTTGTGCATCCACTCAACAGCCCCCGGTCTGTTCAATCGCCCTCGCCGTGCATACGAATCGATTCTGTTAGCTGTGCGTGATTTATGGAGCTGCGTCTCTTTGTCGCTAATTTAGTTGTTCGTTTTTTGTCTTCAGTTATATTCGTATTTATTTGGAGTGCTTCGAAATACCAAAATATAGATTGCTCTTTTTTCTCAACTATTTTCCAGTAGACTTCAAGGACAGTCCTTACTATAAATCTAGATATGTAGGTATAGTGCAAATATTATGCATTTCTAGGTTGACTTCCTGTTTAAAATACTACCTAGGTAGACCTGAGAAACCTGACCAATGGCCCCGAAAAGGCAGGAAGGGCTTTCTGTTGGTCGTAGCTTCCGCCATCAAACGTTTTCACTTCGCTTTCACTTCACTTTAACTTGGTTTAGCTTCTACTTCAGACAATCCCAAGATGTATTTATTCAGCAGACGGGTTAGAGGCTTGGGCAATCATTCACTGGTCAGCCAACGTGGACACCTACGATGTGGGGTTTGCTCTAGGAAGCGAAGGAGATATCATACCGCCAGCATCGCAGTCTCCCAGAGCCAATAATTTGCAAAGAACCAGGACAGAAGAACTACAGCAAAAACAGCATTCATCCCTTCATCCTCCCAGAGACCGAATTATGAGGACATTCAGCATTTTGCGAGCAAATCACTCCTTATACTTGTCCCTGACGGGCTTTATTTCGATCCTCTTACCATTCATCGTTCTGGTTAGTTCTCCTCTTTTCATTCTTCTTATTTACTGACATCGCCTAGTTACCAGCGTTCTAAATCTGATTCAATCCGACGATTCTCTCACACATCTACTGGTTAGTTCACATCCCATCTATCCATTCCCCTTCTTCACTAACCTCAAACTGACATTCCTCAGCACTGAGCACGTTCTACAAGATTGCGATCTGCATTTCAATCCTTTTGCCATTCATCGTTCTGGATTACTGCAAAAAGCCCCGGGGTCCGGCCGCTCCGGACTATGTGCTAAATATCGTACTGGCTGAAATACTGAGCCTATGGCCAAGGCCGAACCTAGGTCAAGGACAATTCCAAAGATGGCTGGAAGATGTCTTCTGCAAATGGCCCAATAAATGACCATGTTTGACGGAGGAAGCCTAGCAAAATCGACACTGGGGAAGTATTTTCCGTATGCATCTGGATCACATCCGTATTTTCACCCCACCAGGGCTCCTATCTCGCAATTGAGGTATTATGCACATGATAGTAAAGTCGGGCTGTCTAAAGGCTTTGAATTGGACTGATGTGACTATTTTCCAAAATCAAGAAAATCAAGTTCAGTCGAAGTGGGAAAGTCTCCACACTTTTATGCGGGGAGATGCTGTAGGTATCGACGGAGGGTATCTAAAACAACAGTTCTCACGAGTATATCATAGCTCTAAATGTTCACATGTCAATCTCAACGAATAGTCCCAACTGATGATGTCCTCTAAACTGTACATATGTACAATATAGTTAGTTACCTAGGTACCTTCACGTGTATCCTTCCAAGGTCAGATATAACCGGGGATCCACCAAGCCCATGATGTCATATAGCATCAGGGACCCCAGGAACAGTCATTTGGGCAGAACCAGATGGAAAAGAGACCTTCTTTTAAATATCCCCGTATGCCCCCGGAAGAGACTTCCAATTACTTGATTTCAAATACATTTTCTCCTTTTCTCCAAATCTGCAAACTTATCTTCCAAAAGTCAACACTCTTACCATTCTATCTAAACTCACCTCACCTACATCATAACCATCACTATGTCATTCCTCACATCCATCCGTGCCTCCTCCCGCCAAGCTATCCGGACCAACTTCGCCGTGCCAGCTTCCACATTCCACTCCTCAGCAGCCCGGAGCTTGAAAGAGGATGATACGAGTCAGTATACCACTACCACCAACTTCTCCCAGCCATACTAACCACAAGGAGACCGCGAGGACCTATCCAACCACTACGAATCCCATAAGCAACAAGGCATCAAGGACACCAAGGAGGGCAAGGGGAAGTGGAAGTCCGAGCTGGCTAGTAACAGCGAGGCGGGGGTATGCATTGGCCCCTAGAGTTCGTCTTCCATTCTTTCATCAGAGCTAATATGTTTGTTTCATTCAGGTCAAAGCGGATCGCGGCGAATTAGATGGTGATGGCTCTTTCCAGGAGCTGCAGGAGAAGACGAAACATGTTGGGAAGCAGAATGGCAATTAAGCAATAAGCGAAAGATGTCGGCATTTTGTAACTTTTAGATCACGGCCTTGGTTTATTCCACATGTGTATTTTATTGAGGCAGTCTGCGGGTGAGGCTGTTGGGAGTCTTTTATGGTGGTTTATTCGAGTTTATGGCATTCCTCAATGACAATTGATACTACACACTTTGTCTGAGCAGATAATTGGATATGAAAGGAAGGTTATTATCAAGGGTAGGCTTGTAGATGTAGTATGATCAAGAATTCAAACAGGAGTCTAGGAGCGACTCAATTGCCTCAAACGCCTCGAGCCACTATGAAAGAAAAAAAAACCATCGGGAGAATCAATCATCCCGTGCTGCGCAAAGTTGTAAACGCCCGCTTGCCAGAAAAAAAAAGTTGAAAGTGATAGCGATAAAATCACACCCTCCAATCATCCACCCGTATTGGGGTATCATTTCAAGATCACGATCAAGATGACCAGAATAATGATCAATCCAATGATAGTCATCATGCTCCAGTTCTCGCCTGCCTTTCGACGGATCTTATCTATCCGCCGTCTCGCAACGTCCAGTCGGGTCTGATGACGCTCGACGTCCCCATCCATTCCATCCAGAAGTTGAACGTGGCCATCCAGCTCATCCCCAATCTGAATACTCAGCTGGTGTTGTCTGCCAATTGATTCACCCAGCTGATCCAACTGATCATCCTGGTCGCGCATGGTTTGAGCGTGGTGGTCGTAGATCTGCTGGTTGTCCATGTTTGACTGATCCGGTCGCGGCGATGGCTCATCACGGTATGGACGGAAGAGGTTGCCTCGGTTGCGCTCGTCTTCCTCGTCGATCTCATCTTGCACGGCTGCCGCTGCGGCGGAGCTGTCCATGAAGCGGACGGATTTGGAAGGTGGATGTTGGGGAATTGGCTGTTTGAGATCGGGGGTGGCGGATTTCGACGCCTGCGTCGTGTTGTTATCCCATGGCTGACCGTCTGCGCCGTAGAACTGGGTCGACAGATCTTTGTATTGGGCCTGGAGGGGGGTGAGTTGGTCTTTCAGGGCGGCTGCACCTGCGCTGTCGTGCGAGTTGGCTAGCCGGGTTTGTTCTGCTTCCAGTGCCTCTATGCTCTCTCGGAGGGACTCAAGAGACCAAGAGATCTCTCCATCTTGGGAATTGGGCTCGAGATCGAGTGAAATTGCCCTTTCGCGCTCTAAAAGGGATAATTTGATGTGATCGGCGAGTAGGAATAGCTGGGAAGGGTTCGTCATGATGAGGTGTGTGAGATCAAAATGTCCAGCTGTGAAGATGTATAGATCGTAGGCGTTTGGACGGTCAATACGGAGAAAGACCTCCGATCTGCCAAGTAAGATAAAATCAGACTGTTTGGGATGTTTACGAGGTTGAAGGTGGAGATGGTAAGACGAGGAATCACAAGCGCAGGCAACAAGTGCGGATCAACCGCTTTCCGCCTTTCGCCTCCCCTTAATCCCCCGCAGTCATCCCGCCCTCTCTTCAGCTCGGAAATCTTAACATGTCTATGTCTTGCAAGCATTTGCTTCCGATCGCTCAACTGATTGTTTTCTGAGTGTCATCCTCATGGATCTGGGCTATTCGGTCTACCTCGATATCTAGCGCAAAGCTACATGAATCCGCGCACTGATTCCGCATTCCAAAGAAGCAACAACATAGGGAATTAAAGTCCGTTGGTAACTTGCATATTTTTTGGAGGCCTCGTGATAGGCTCGAAGACCGCGCAACATGAACCTACAAGACTTTCTAGCAATGGAAGAAAGCCGCGACCGCGACGAGCTAATCGACCTCCGCGGCCTTGATCTCGTCTCCGAGTACGACTCGCACCTTATGTGCCCGATCTGCCACTGTCCCTTTGTTGAACCCGTTCGTCTACAATGCGACCATGTCTTCTGCGGGAGTTGCCTCAGTTCGGCAATCACCACCTTCCGCTCGGCCGACTCGGATGAGTTCCCGTGTCCCTCTTGCCGAAATCCCACCCAGAAGGTGTCGGCTAGCGTGCCCCGCCTGCTGATCAACATGTGCGACGAGATCCGAGTGCGATGTCCGTTGATAACGGAGGGCTGTCAAGAGATCATACCCCGAGGCCATGTCCACTCGCATGTCGAGAAGTACTGTGGATATCGGTTATTGCCGTGTCCAGATAATTCATGCGATCAGATGACACGAAGCAAGGACGTCGGGATGGATCAGAAGTGTATTCATAGAGTGCGACGGTGCTCTCATTGCGAAGAAGATGTTCTAGAGCATGAATACGAGGTTTGTTGCCCTTTTGAACTTCTTAAGAAATTCTATAGATGCTGACCGGAAACGCCTATACTAGGAGCATGAGAAAGAGCTTTGTCCAGTTCTGGAGGTCACATGTGTCGACTGTGAAACAGTTGTCACTAGAGGGGCACTGCGAGAGCACATTGAATCATGCCCGGAGGTTGCGATTCCCTGCACGGCATCCAAATACACATGTCCAGTTAAGATCCGACGGGCAGACATTGCAGCACATGAGCAAAGCTGCCCCATAGTCGCAATGGGCCCATACTTTGAGACGCAGAATACCCGGCTCAAGTCCCTTGAGTCAAGTATGCGACATCTGCAGCAGCGGAATGAGATATTCGAGGATGGGCTCGCAAACATTCGGTCCACTCTTGTCGAATCCACACGCTTAGGTGCGAACAGCCAGAGCGGTGGACAATCTACCCAGTCTAGCCGAGAACAGCAATCCTCCGCTCGCGTCGACGTCCACACAGATGATCCTGCAGACATTGCTGCGAGTGTGTTTTCATCCAATGCCACGACCTATCTACTTTCGTTGCACGAATCTCTCCGAGAGGAGGTCAGCCAACTCTCGCATGCTATCACAGACCTAGATGCTCGCGCCAGCATGGTTATCATGAATGAATGCATGCGCATCAAGGAAGACATCGCCCACACGAATGCGGCAGTCAACAGTGTCCGCATGCAGGTCCAATGGCTCATGAACCCTCGCCTTCACCAGGGGACGCGGGGAGGAGCGGTTCGCACCAACTCTGCAGAAAACGAAGGAACGCGGACACAGATGGCATCGTCAGCGGCTGGGCCGAGCCATGCCGCTGGTCAGTCCCTAGGGACTCTTCGGCCTAGGCGTCCCAGTGACAGTGGACGGGAAGGAACGAAGCTGTGAGGGTGTGTTTGGGTGTAATCCGGGACGCTGCATTTCCCCGTCTGCTGCGACGGGGTTCCAGGCTTTCGTGTGTATCTTGTAACTTATGATATGACTGATGATTGGTTTGTCTTGGTTTTGGGCCGTATTGTACATAGTTGACATGGGTGGACGGCTCTTGTTGCATCAATAAACGTTTTAACTTTTTTTTTAATATTTAAGATTAAAAAATCCTACTCGTCATATCGAAATATATATATCGTCAGATATCACAAAAAAGATCCCAACAAATGGATGCTCTACGGTGACTCTTTGGCAATGAACCATGGTAGACACCTACATATTTATTTATACCTTACACGCCCACGGACATAGCAAAGCTTAAAAAAGTCAATTGATCTATCCCTCTGTCCACTAAACAAATATAAAAAAAAGAAGAGCAAAAAAGAAATCTCAGGTTTGGTTTTTAGGAATAGCCGAACGCGGGGGTCGAACCCGCAGCCTTAAGATTAAGAGTCTTACGCTCTACCGATTGAGCTAGCCCGGCCGGGCTGTTGTAAAGAGGAGCGAATTAATGTATTACAAAGCAGAATACTTCAGGAATGGTTCCCCCTTTAGCATTGGAGAGTCAGTGTCCAAGGTAGGTTGCGGCTCAAAGCAAGTCCATGTAGTTATCGTGAAAAGGTGAAGTTGTAATATTTTCTGGCTTTTCAGTATCCGGTTATTTAGCTAGTGCTCGTTCGTTCGGTGACTAGGAAGTTGCCAGTCACTCGGGGACCAAGAGTTGCAGTTGTAGACGATGGAGAGGATAACGATGAAGAGAAAGACGAAGAAAACAGAAAGGTGAGGAGAAGAGAAAGGGGAATGGAAATATGCAAGGGAGAAGAGGGGAGAGCAGATGTATACTTCAACGACTGGGATTGGTGGAAAAGCCGGTCGGATAAAAAGGAAACATCTGTGGTATACACAAAGAAACATTTGTACTTAAGTCAAGGGCTATAAGCACGTCATATTGACCGATCTATAGATACATAATGTTACTATGTAATTTTAATAGCACATATTGATTAAATTGCCCAAATACGCAGAGGAAGACAATGCATTAGCACCTAGGGGGGTCTATATACTCCTAGATGATTCATACGTCACTCCCAAGTCCGAGCACGAGTCACAGAGTATACTATACTAGCATTGTTTGTGTATACAAAATGACCACCTTCAAGAGAAAATTGACTGAAATTATTGAGCAATCCCATTATGTGCCCTCAACCCTAGGCCGCGAATGCCGCGCCAGCGAGACCAACCTCTCAACAAAAGCCTGCGCTAGATAAAACGGTGGGTAAGTCTGCCCGTCATCCGTCGATTTACCGAGGTGAGCCAAGAGCTCAGCGATATCCTCCAAGGTCTTGAGATCCCTTGTGAAAGTAGATGAAGCTGGAACCGTGATGAGATACCAGAAGACCGAGAGAACGGCCGTGAGGAGAAACTGCGCGTGAAGCCTAGAATACGAAAGAAACCCAAATTAGTATATATATGTAGGAGGACGTGCAGAGTACCTTACCAGAATGTATGCTGGTTAACGAATTGGCGGACTCGCCAGATGTAGATCAGCGAACACCTTGCAGCTTCAAAGCACAGCTCTGCACTAGATGGGAGAGGCGACCAGCTCTGCGGAGAAGGTATCTTAGAAGAGCTACTCGCTCCGTGGATCTTCCCCAGGCAGTAGTAATATTCCAAATGGATATTCACACCGCGGATACTGAGATCGTGGAACAGATAGTCCGGTGCGCTCTCGGTGGCGAACACCTCCGGGCGGCAGTCGGCGGGATAACCCAGCTTCAAGTCACTTAGTTCTTGGTCTAGTTCACGGATATATTGAATGCGCCTAGCCTCCGGTAGTGTCTGACTGTCACTTGAATAAAGTAACCGGAAGATCTTGGACTTGAGCAGAGAAAAGCGGAGGTCCGAAGGGAAAAGAAGCTCCTTGGATGACAAGGGCTTCATGTAGAAGTGGCGTTCTGAGGTTTCCTGGGCATATGTCGTAGGTAGATCTAAATCGCAATCGGCATCGTTTATCAAGGGTGGCTGAGATTTTCGGATAGAGAATTCTTTGTCGACGGCATAGCAATGCCAGAACAAAGCTCGGAGATGTTGACTACGCTGATCCGTCCTGTGTATCTCATTGGGGGTTTGTATTCTGTTTGCCCCGAGGTTATAGATGAGCTGCACTGCGATCCCAAGAAGTAGTTCTGCTGCCTGAGGTCTGCCAAGAGGGGCGATATAGAGCATCTATGGCCACATATAAGCTTTTGAGACATGAAAGACATGGGATCCACCCTCGGGGCTGGACAGGCGAAGAACTTACTAATATTGTCACCGCTTCCAAGGTTCTTAAATCAGGGGGCTCCAGTAACATTTCAGGGAGGAGTGTTAGCGCTGCTTGCAAATAAGCATCCGGGTCAGCGCCGGCGAAAGCTGGCTCATGGCGGTGGATATGGGTGATCATTGCCGCAAAAGCAACCAGACAAGCCCGATTCGCAGCACGAGTCATGTTTGGAGGCCGTTCTAAGACATTTGCATTGAGTAGAATCTGCACGGCCTCAACATCGATAATTGGAAATATAGAATAGAGACCATTTCTATCAAAATGCTCCAAACACCGTTGGACTAGAGCAGACCCTGGCCATTTGATCCCAATCACCTTCTTTGTCGACATGAGCTGTTGTGAATTAAAAGATTGCGTGACCTCTTGAGCAAAGACATCCACATCGAATGTACGACCTGTTTGCTCTTGAATGAGAGAGTAAAAAGCTGTCCTTTGCGTCGAAAGAGCACTCCCGAGCCCACAATACGAGATGTGCCATTGGAAAGCTGCCAACGCGGTATCGAAATCACGAGTATCGGGCAAATAAGATAAGGATGCTTCCGAGAGGGGTCTAGGCGACACCGGGGAAGAGCTTCTACTCGGAGAAGGGATAGCTAGCCTTTTGTGGCTTTGTTTTGTGGATTCTTTAAGTCCGAGCAGGGTCGCCTCTAATTCCCGAACCCGAGCTTTGGTCTCGGCAAGCTCTCTGTGTACCCCGTAAGCGTCTAGTAAAGATGGGGCTCAATGGTATGGAGTCTTACTGTCGGGTACTTTTCCGATGCTGGGATACAGGTTGAGAGAATGTACATGGTAGTCCTGCAAGATGACAATTCTCACAGGCTGGTTGGTTTCTATCACAGCGGATCTGTCGGCAAAATCAGATTAGGGGCAATCACACAGGCAGTGTGGATATTACCTTTCGGTGTCGACATAGATCGCAAGCGCTCCGTCCTTTTGCGCCCCGTGGGCCAGTAGGATCATCCATAAAGTGATATCGTAATACTCGTTATAGGTGTCAAGAGGCCTTATCGGTCATCATGGGGGCGGGCAAAGCGCCGCTGAATCATCAAGCTTTTTTTTATCAGGGCAGAGCCTATCAAGACGATGAGCAGAAGAATCCACTTGCTTTGCAACCACTGAGATCGACGAAATTTAAGACCAAGACCTTTTTAGGTGTGTAGCGCCGAGAAGTGGGTAAGATGACTCAGCGGGAATTTGGGCCTGGAGCTCCGATGGACTTGACCTTGAACAATGTACCTAGGTAGAGTGTTAACTACATGTAGCGTTAGTTGTTCACTTTGTGTTTTATCTCTTATGGATAGCATAGATCTCTCGAGCCTGTTCCAAGGTTGCTAGATCAGTAGATCTTTTATCAGCTACATTAGTGTCTCAGATAGGAAATAAGAACAAATCGAAGTATATTTAAAGCAACAAAGCAAGAGATAAATACCAATTAGGCCAAATTAGGCCAACAAAAACGAAGCAAAATAGCATATCCATATATCTACACATTCCGCCCAGTCCCAGTGCCAATACTCCCTTCTCTCCTTGCATACCTACAAACCCTCACTCAAGTAGATGGGGCCACATCGAGGCTGAAAATACCATCCCACTTGCACTGTGCCTTAGGATACTCCTGCTTCTCGCATTTCCATAAGTTACCACTCACAATTGACCGCCCAGTCTGAGAACCATCTGCGCGGGAGACTCCGAAATCGATGTTTTCAATATCATAGATTCCATTTGGGAGGTGGAGCTGGTATGCCTTGTCTGAGCAGTTGTAGGTCTTGTTTCCAGCCATCCCAATTGACCTATATAAAAGTCAGTATCATTTATGCCTTTTGGCTTTGGGCTTATAGGGTATTCTAAACAGAGGGAAGAAAGTCGGAAGATATATTAGAACATACCAGTAAGCAGAGCAACTAGTGTCTGTGTTCGTGTTTGGGTCTTTGACAGCAAAAGAGAAGAAGCAGGTTGTTGGGGGGCTCGTGCTGTAGATGGCTGCGTTGACATCTGTAAGTTGCAGCGGTTCTAGGACGGGCACCACAGGGCTGGGTGCAGCGAGGATGGAGGTGGCAGTCGCCAGGATGAGAGCGGAAATCGACATAGTCTTCATTTTGCTGGACTGATGTTTGTTGCTTTGTTTCTTTGGAAGCTTTTAAATTATTTGCTGTTGGAGCGTATACTGATGGTGTTGACGTCTCTCTTATACTTCTTCCCTGTACATACTTGTTGGTAATATACTTGAAAAGTTCAACTGAGACATGAACACGAGAAACAGACATGTAGGAACAAGATCATGACTGAATGTTGACGTAGAGTTGCATTGAATTTATTGCAACCCAGCTGCGCAAATCCATTTGGATCCCCGAATTATCGAATGATAAGCTATTGTCAATGAAACAAAGTCTTACACCTCAAAGAGGGGATACGATCTAGAAAGTCAGGCCTATCACTCTCGATCTATGCTTATTGTAGATACTTTCACCGCTAAACCTACACACGATTATTGGCACCCGCTGTTTGCTATTTTTGGCATCAGGCGACCAGTCTACACAGCCCTGTATTATTTTTGGATATTAGAACAAAATATTCACATATGTACTCTCCATATAAAGTCTTGTGACATGTGCATGAAATATTTGCTCTTAGGAGTAGAGACTTAGTAAACTACAGCCGTGCTACTTGCCCTAACAGCCCTCTGTACCCAAATTTAGCCCAAGCGCTTTTTTATACACGCAGAATCTACAAAGTTCTAAACCGAGGAAACTTTCATATATACTATCGAGAAGAGGTTCTTAATCTCGTTACCATGGCTAGGGCTACAACTATCCTATACATAAATAATTGACAAAAGCAACTGCATTCATTCTTATAAAGGAGATATATAGTCAAGAAAAATATTCTAAGTAGGATTTAAAGCTACCGATCTCATCTAATAACCCGATAATAGAACTGTTAGTATCCGATGGGCTTCATATAAGGTCCAAACCCTCAGACAAGGAGGACACTTGCTATACTCCATCATCAGGGGGTCCAATCAGGAGGAGCAGGAGAAATACCGCGATAAGGAGGGGGTGGAGTGGCATAGCGCACAGGACGGAGCCCTACTAAGTCCGACCCGGGAGTGTACTGATACGGAGGAGGGAGGTTCAAAAATGGGGCGGAATGCGGGTCTGGCAACCCCAGGGCGGAGTACGAGGGCGACTCCGGCGCGACTCCGGTCACATCCGCTTCATAGAGAACCACAATGAATTCATCAGTGGAGGAAACGCCTCCGTGATACACATGCCGCAACAGGTTCAGAAGACCTCCGCCGGGACGAGTACAAGCAGGTGTGGACATGATGGCGAACTTGCGGGCTGTAGCCCCATCGTGGTGGGCGAACACAGCCAGCAGCATAGGCGGGGGTCGGATATCTAGCAGGAACCGCTCAACACCCTGGGTCTGCTGCACAATCGACTGGATCTGAACCCACTGGCCGCGGTAGTGGAGGTCAAACCGGTGTGTCCACTCTGGGTCGAGGCCGGAATCTGCGAGGGCGGCGCATAGGGTCCAGATAAGGTGGTTCTCGTTGATCCACTCGGTAACTACAGTCCATGTCCAGGAAGTGCAGCGTGTTCGGCCCACATGGCACCGTATAGACGCCTGGGGAGTGATCTGCAGATCATCGACTGGTCCGCCGCAGAGTACTCCAACCTGTTCCCACCTGTAAAGCTGGTCAGATGACATGATGATATATGGGCTACAAGACTCACACAATTGGGTCGTAGTTGGGTATTGGGTTGAATGTGGATATTTGACTTCAGAGCAGTGTAAAATAGAACAATGTTGGCGAATTCCGGTTCTTGACGCGAAGAGGGAAGGGTTTATATAGCCCCAGAGAGTCTGGGGCTTACAGCACTGGACCGAGAGAGAATGCCTTTATCAGACACGGAAGAAATCAAAGGCAATGAAAGGATTCTTTATGTTATCATATGAGGAGTTTAAATGCTATTTTCATTGCCAAAGAGCCAACTTTGCCCTTTGTTGGGCGAGGCCCAGAATACACAACAAAGCCTCGCGAAAAATGTAAGAATCATATCTAGATGACTTCCTAATTAGAAATGAAAAGACAAACACACCTAACGAGGAATATGGTCGTAGGAGAGCTAATATCCATAAGATAGCCAATATAAACATCCAGGAGGGCCAAAAAGGGAATATCAAACACTGCGACTTATAAGCGAGTCTGCCTCCTATCACCAAGCCTACATTGTTGATCACCACGAAGAGATTCCCGATTTCTTTCAGTAGTGTGGTTGAACATATGTGTTCCTATGTAGATGGTTCTTTGTTTGCTAGGCCTCTCTACTCAATATTTTCGTCAAAGATTCCAAGGTTATTGATGAAGGCATAGGTGTCTGAGACTTGACACCCAAGGGCTCTTTCCGATACATCTTTCTCTCCTTCTATACTGGATACATGGTTCTCAATAGGAACTAACAGTCACTCTTGCTCACCTCCTGTATAATAAAACTGATCTGTTTTCCAATTGTGCCAACTCATGGCTGAGCTTTATAGATAAATGTCTCGCTTTTACTGGGGACATGGCCATCTGAACCCGTATGCATGTATTCCATTGAAACTAGCAAAGCCATTATGCACTAGATATCAGACCATGATGAGACAGAATTTCAGGGCAACAAACCAATTACACAGAGCTGTTCATCAGAGAAGAACCTGGCTAACTAAACCACCTGGGTAATGGCCTGACCCCTAAGACTAAAAGATACCGCAGTGAATCCCAACAGCCCTTATAAATCTAAAGAAAGCTGAAATTGACTCAACCTCATGAGTTTCACACGAGCTTTTATAAAAGGAAGTACAACTTCCAAGTTCCTTGAATCATCCACCTTTATCGTCTTTCCAAACTCCGCTACCTTATAAGCCGACACAAACAATCATCTGATTTCATTAAAATACAATCACGATCATCTCACTTCCATCTTATCTGCACTTGATCTCCACATATTCAAATCAATCATTTATCTTCGTCTCATCATCCAATCTTCAGTAGCCCGGATGACCATATCCATGTCCGGATCCACCATGCGAACCCGGATGCGAACCATATGGCGGGCCATTGTGGGAAACGTGCGGCTGCGGATGGCCGAAGTGGTCGTCCTGCTGTCCATAGGCCGAAGGATTCTGCGAGCCACCATAATGCTGTTCATGATGTTGATTATCCTGGTAGCCGTGACTTTGTTGAGGTACGTGCTGAGGCTGGTGGTAGCCTCCATGCTGCTGTGGAGGAGGGTGCGCGGCCTCGTGCATCCCCCTGCCTGGTGGCTCTGGTATGAGCTGTGCTGGGTCTGTTGAGTTCCTTGGTCCGGGGCATCGCGTGACAAGCCGCCAGGGAGGAAGTTGGAGATTTTGCTTTCGAGTTTACCCAGGTTAGATAAGCCGGGGATGCTAGAGAGTTTGTCCCATGGCATGCCAGAAGAGCTGCTGTTTGATTGTTGTTGGTGGTTTTGTTGCTGGTTTTGTTGGGGGAGGAATGAGGAGAATCCACCAGATGTGTGTCCGCCATTGTTACTGTGACTCTGGCTTTGGCCGTGTGAGGCACCGCCCAATGCCGCGAATCCACCATGACCACCGCTGTGAGTGTGGCTCACTCCACCAGTGTTACGACCGGATCTCACGCCCTCGGAGCTGAGGACGGAGTCAAGGGACGCGCCGCGGTCTGAACGGCCGTGGGCCCATTTCTCGACGGCCTCGAACATCGCACGATGGGCATCATTGCGCATGTTGCGCAACACTGGGTGGTGGAAGACTTGCATGCAGTCATTGAGGACCTCGTCCTCGGAGACATCGGTGTGTTGCCAAGCATACAGAATGCGAGGCGCGACATATTCTACGATTGAAGAGGCGACCCGTCCGGCAGGCTCATTCAGAATGTTGGCAAAGTGGTCCTTGGAGAGCAAGGAGTGGGTGGGGTCTGTGCAGTGAGGATCGGTCCATGGTTCGTACTGGTGCTTGCCAGAGGAATCGATAACACCTGCTGATCCGGTTTGCATGGACTTGGAAGCAGCTTTGATCAAAGGTCGAATGAAAGGCGCTAGGAGCGACATGATGACAACGGTCAGAGTTTCGGAGATCTTCTCGACGAGTGACTCCAAGCCTGGGATCTTTTCAATGATCGAGTTCAAGCTCCGCATCACCTTATCTCGGAAGGCCAGGATGGGATAGATCTTGGCTACTGTCTCCTGGGGGTTGAAATCAGGCATGCCGTCGAGCCCAGAACTAGGCTTCGAACCACCACCTGAAGACTGAGTTGGCCCCGCACGGGACCGCTCGTGGCTACTGGAGGAAGACTGCTCATAGCCAGTCGCAGCACTACGGCTCCGGTTGGCCATTTCTTGTGCCGCCGACGACCTCTTGAGACCCTCGGCCTCACTGACAAGCTCCTTGGTACCGGGGATCTTGCCCAAGAGCCCAGTCAAGGCATTAAGGGAATTGTTCGACTGCGCATTTGTTTCGGCATCACCGAGCGCAATATCCATCTCGTTGACCTCAGATTGAGTGAAATGATCATTTGCCTCTCCCATCACGGAATGGAAGAAATCGACCATACCAAATGTTCCCGTCACAAGCGGGAAAACGCGATGCCCGTGAAGGTTGATCTGGGTGGCAGTACCTGTATGCGGGAACACGTTCTTGAAACCCATCTCGCGCAATGCCAGCTCAACATAGTTGGTGTGTGCGGCAAAATCCTCCAGCGTGTGTAGTCCCTGGCCTAGACACCGGAGTGCTTCGCATAGGTCCTCTTCGTTGCCCTTCTTATGTCCGCCATTGGTATAGGTCCGTCCATAGTGGATACTGCGCTTAAGACTGAACTTAATAAAGGCAGAGCTGGTGGCCCAGTCGCCTCGCTCATTGGCGATGTAGTTCTTCATACCGGTGTTCGGGTCGATTTCGAGCTCGACAGTACGAACGGGTGGGCGCAACCGCTTGTCATATTGGCGTGCATCTTCGTTATCGGCATAGTCCTTAGGGTTACTGCGAAAAAGAAGGCAATCAGTACAAACTATCAAGAATAGACCTCAAGCTGGACTTACTCGATATGTTCCTCAGGACGGTAAACACCCAAGCGATCCGAAGTCACCTCAAATTCACCCGTGGCATAGCCGAAGCTCAGGAACGAGAGGACCCACACCAAAACACGAATGGTATCGGCCTGCAGATTTTTAAGAGTTCCAACGTCCATTGCCTGCGAGCTACAGAAGCAGTCAGAATATAATCGATCTATCGATCCTTTGGTAACTCACTAATCGCGCAACCAGTTACCAAAATATACACGCTTGACCATGGTGGAGGTCCATTTATGGCCGGAAATGAAAGCCAGCGTCTTGAGGACATCTTCGATATCACCATGGCGCCAGTTCTTGCCTTCGACGGCGGAGATAGAGGCGATATTTCCAGCTCCAAAGGCGTGTACTTGCGGGAGTATCAGGAGCAGTACTAGCAGGGCGGAGCCCGCGTGGAGGAGGGGCATGGTGGGGGTGAGATTTGCGTAGTATTTTTCTCGAAATTTGAGGGGATAAAATATGGAATATCCCCAAAAGAGTAGAAGCTAGAGAAGTAAAGAAAAAAGGGTTTCCAAGGTAAAAAGATCAAGTGCGATCTCAAACTGCGACATAGGACTCAGCCCTCTGGCTCTTGGCTATTCTTGGCATTCAGTGATCCCCATGACGTCCATATTTAGAAACAAGAAACATTAAACGGGGTTTGTTGTGTTTGATTATTTACTTATGTAGAATCAAGCACTATAACATATGCATAACATACTAAAATTATGTATAATTGCATTATGTAAATGTGTATGTACTATGATGTATGTAAATAAAAACAGTACCGAAGAAAGGGTCACATCTGGAGATCCACGGTAGCATCGAGAGTTCCAGAAAAGGAAATGCGACACCGTTGCGTCGTATTGTTTTTTTTTGGCTTCAACCCCGCAGATATAAATTTCAACTTCCCCAGATCTCCAGATATCTAATTGTTTTACTCTTTCACCTTTTTTCCACCAAAATGTCCACCCCAAACCTAGACGCCCTCAAACGCGATGGCTTCGTAGTAGTCCGCAACCTCTTAACCCCAACTGAGGTATCGCACTACCGCGAAATCGCCACAAAAGCAACAACCCTAACCCGCAACGGAAGCTGGCCACATTTCCGCACCGTCCCGAAACAATTCCCACCCTGGCCGACAACCGCCCCGCCCGCCTCGGAGGGCGGAATCTGGGGCGTGCAGCACTTAATGCACCCCGAAATGCCAGGACGGGACAGTTTCGCACGATGCTACTTCTCTCCCACCATTCTCGCCGTAGCGGAGGAGCTAATGGGCGTTGAGAATGCCGCCAGCAGCGAGACAGAGCCACTAGTCATGGAACTGTTCAATCTGCTCGTGGCGCCGGAAACCAAAGATTTCGAGCTCCGCTGGCACCGTGACGATATCTCAGAGCATGCCACTGCCGAGGAAGAACTCGCACAGCTTGCGTCTAAGGCGCCTGGCGGCCGTCAGTCGCATTGCCAGTATAACCTGGCACTGTGTCCCGATGCGTCGCTGATTGTTGTGCCAGGGACGCATGCGCGCGCGCGCACGCAGGTCGAGCGTGAGGCGGATCCTTATGCGGCTGAGTTGCCGGATCAGTTGGTTGTTCAGCTGCAGCCTGGAGATGCGGTGTTTTATAATAGTAATATTTTGCATCGTGGGGTTTATCGGGGGAAGAGTGAGGGTGGGGTCGAGACCAGGTTGACTTTGCATGGAAGTCTTGGGTTGAAGGCTTCTGGGGATGGGGGTGATGATGCCGAGGAGAAGAAGAAGGTTAGGGCTACTGCTGTGCTGCAGCATGGGGTTGGGGCCTGGGTTCATCGTGAGGATGCTGCTTTTGGGCTTGGGGAGAGGCCTGAGAGGATGAGGGCTAACCTTGTTGAGATGGGCACTGGGGAAGGAGTTGGGTTTTCTTTGCAGGGGTAGACTATTCAAGATTTCCTTGGGAAATTGTGAATATTGTTGTTTGTATGTATTTACCGCTGGATCTGGTTATCTTATATATAGGGCAGAATGTACAAATGATGAAGCTTGCAGCTGCGGGCTTGGCCCTTCCTACTCGATCAAAGCCTCTAGACGAAGTCTTGGGTGTTTGTTAATCTCCTGTTTATTGTTCAAATCTCCTCATGTGGCTAATAGGCCTGACATTTCTCCATGCCCTTTAGTCTTTGTCAATGCTGCTCTCATCAGGCAGGATCGCACCTGCACCTATATACATCCAATCACGTGCTTCCAAACTCGGATGTCGAGTTCCACGCTAATCCATATCTAGTCTAGTTCAAATCTCTCTTGGTCAGACGGACTCCACTCGGCAATCCAAAGATCTGCCCAACACTATCAATCACACACTCCTCGATACTGGCTTTATCCTTGCTCTGAGTCAAGCAACTCCTAGACGAACTGCGCAAATGACCCGAAATGTGATGTTCCCAGGTAGTACCAGTACCACCCTGGCACTTAGCAAGCGAAACCCCATCCCCAGCAGCAAGACAAACCGACGCATCCGACAGAGGACTCAAAGTCAGCTTAGTGCCATCGCCCGTTGCCGCCACATGCCAGACCTGGGAGTCTGAGGCACTACATTTCTCAAAGGTAACAGAATCAGTAGAAGCAGTCATACAAAGACCGGACGGAGTATTGAAAACCATCCCGGTAGGGGTAGTCTTAGTGCAGCTTTCAGGCAGCGCAATACGGTAGACCTTAGCAACATGAGAATCGAGCTGGATCTCGATAGCAGAGTCGATAGATGAGACCTCGTCGGTGACAAGATCGCGCGCCTCATACTTGCAGCCAGACTGAGACGACAGGCCGAGGCGTGCGAGGGAGACGGTCGTTGTGGCCGCATCGGCTCCACGGTTCAGCACGGTTAGGAGTCTGTCGCCGTTTTCCAGGGAGCGGGACAGGACATCGAAGGTGCCATCTCGACTAACGAGAGCAGATTGCTGCCCCAACGGGTCCTGATTCACATCGATGAGGGCCTTGTTACTGAGGAATGCGATTTCCTCGTCCGAGAGGGGGGGAATGTAAGCGCTGAGAATCAGTGGCGCGCCGATGGAAGCCCAGAGCGCGAACTGAGACTTTTTCTCGTTCTGAGAGAGGCTCGGGTGGTCTGGGATCAGGAAGTCCGGATCGTTATAGTAGCCCGGTTGCTGGTAGCGCACTAGACGCGCGTGGAAGTCATAGTTATACACGATGCTATCCCAGGCACTGCCACTGCTGGAATAGACAAGCACATCCGCCGAGTGACGCGCCAGCTCGCCGGATTCCGGGACCCAGTCCATGACTACCGCCCAGTCTGACGCCTCGCCTTCGAAATATGCAGGAGCGGAATTAGAGAAGATAAGCGGATTCGGCATGGCACTCAGCACATCGTGCCACTGCATGTAGCGGACACGGTACTCCTCGCGGAGTGAGCGGCCTTCTTCGGCCCAGACATTGCATCCGTCCAGCTTGAGGTAGTCTATGCCCCAGCTAGCGAATAGTTCGGCATCCTGCGTCTCGTGCCCGTAGGAGCCCGTATAGCCGCCGCAGGTCAAGTTCCCGGAATCCTGGTAGATGCCGAGGTGAAAGCCTTTGCTTTTCATGTAGTCGGCGAGCCAGGGGATGCCGTGCGGGAACTTGTCGCTGTCCCACTCCAGGGAGCCGTCATCGGCGCGGTCGTGGAGCATCCAGCAGTCATCCAGAGTGAGGCGGTCATAGCCTACGTCGAGGAGGCCGCGTTTTAGCATTGCTTGCGCTGTTTCGGTGAAGAGCGTCTCGTTCAGATCGCACTGGAAGCGCGCCCAGTTGTTGAACCCCATCGGGGGTGCTGGGGCTAAGCTTGGGTTCTCAGTCGAGGCTTGCACTTGTAGCAGTGGGAACACTAGGAGGCCGGCAATGCTCTGGGCTGCCCAGCTTGTGGGCGAGAGTGGCTTCATGGTGTCTGTGCAGTACGGAAGTATAGACAAGAACGAGATAAGATGTAATATGCTTTGATGGCGCAGGCTTATAATCGGCTGAGGCGTATGTTGCACAGCATCCCGGGCGGTTTTATGCCAACCAGGACCCCTTTGCTCAATTTCGTTCACTTCCTTAACTGTCTCATTTTCAAGGATTCCCCGCACCGACGTCGCATCTACAACGCGCAGCGATCTGCAATAATCGCGGGGGACGTTATAAGCATTGCGACGGTACCATTGACATATAGCATATTTGATGAAGTAGCATCTACATACAGCACAAGAGTTCCTCGAAGAGCATACTGAATCTGATTTATAAGATCGGCAAGACATGCCGATCTTCACAAGAAGACAATTCCGAACTCTGCCCAATCAGAGTGCCGCAGAGCTTTAGCCCAGAGCCAGAGAGAGAAAAACTGGATCTGAAATACGATCCATCACATTTTTCTCCTTGAAGATATGTTGTGGCACAGCTGACCCTGCATTGGACGACCGGGATGCAAAAAACCGGACTTTTTGCAGTGGAACCCCCCGCCCTGAACTTCAACGGTTTCTCCGATTCTCCGATTTCCTCTGGGGAATTGATTTTTGAATTGCATCTGCAATACTACTACGGTAGAGTGGTATTGCCGCAATGCCCCAAGACTCTAAGACGAAGATACGCCCGCAGCAGTCGTGCCTCAGATGTCGCGAGCGCAAAGTGAAGGTACCCGGATACTCTCTTGCCTATCTCTCAACACTCCCACGTTACTATCTCTACTATCTCTACTCAAACCCTTTAATTAATCCTCACGCCACTAATCACCCCTCTCTTATCACCAGTGTGATCGCTCTATTCCATGCCACGCCTGCATAATCCGCGGCCTCGAAGCGGAATGCACCTACCTAACAACGGCTGAAGATCGCGCCCATATCAGCCAATCCGAAATAATCAACCAACTACGCCGCGAAGTTGCACAGCTGCGAGGGCGCCTGAACCAAGGTCCACGAGAGCCGGGTCATAGCCAGAGCAAGCGCCAACGCCAGCGCTCGCTACTGGACCAAGGGACCGGGCCTTTCCCGGGGAAGGACCCGAGTTGGACACAATATACACCTGCGCACACGGGCTACAACCACGACAGCCATGGCCATGCCAATGGCTCTGGGTATGCGACCGGCGCTGGCGCTGGTTCTGCTTCGGCTAGAGGTACCCCGGATGCCGGTGAAGGTAGCTGGCGCGGGTCGTCGCCATCCTCGTCAATCACGACCATGACGAACTCTGTTACTGTTACGAGTCCTGATAGTACGGGGAGTGAGAATGGGGCTGGGTCGATGTCCGCTTCGTCGCGGTCGGCTTCGGCTTCGGCTTATCCTATCGCGACGGGGTATGCGCCACAAGTTGCGGAGCCAGATGGGTCGACCGCAATTGAGCCGCTTGCTTTTGGAAGTTTGTTTTTGCATTTGTTCAACTTCTTTTTGGGCGCTTGTGCTAACCTTATGCAGATACTCTAGAAGATACGACAATGTTCGGTTGTTATACGGGAGGCATGACCTTCGCTCCGGGGGACATGTCCGGAACAGTCCCAGTACCGATGCAGGGTCTCCCGGTGCACGGGTTACACGCGGAGGATGCGATGCTAGGGATGCACCACCCGTCGCTATACGGAGCCAGTAACCATGATTATATGCTTGACGGAGGCAAAGCACTGCCATACCTACAACACACTGGCTATCCCGAACCCATACCCACATCAAGAGTAACACCTCACAGGGAGGAATATTCAATTGAAGATGACAGACCTCATGCATATCATCAGTGGGGGCAAGATGCATACGGGAATCCGAATCCAAGTCAGAACCAATTCCCGCATACGCATATATACCAAAACCCGTCTCATCATTCAACTATCAACTCCTTCACCAATATCACTGCCACCAACACAAACATCAACACCTATACAGATGCACCCTTTTTTCCACCCACCCCGACACCCGTGGCAAGCGATACTTCAAGCCATGCCAGCCCCAGTTCCCAGGACCGTCCTTCACCAACAACCATCATGAACTCCATGCCAAGCTCCTGGAGGGGCGAAGGGAAACAGGAACTGCTGGAGATCCTGCTGGAAACAATTGGCAGCTGTGACGAGCAACGTTTACCTCAGGTGATTCAGGTCTTGCGGACAAGTCCTTCACCCGAGGAAGCTGTTTCAGGGGTATGTCAGGTTCTCGGGATTGGGACTGGGTGACGACGGCGTAAGCGCACACTCAAACCGAGCCCCGGACGCGGGCCTAGGCCTGTTGCCGTATGCATATGCCGAATGCGTTGGAATCGAGTGCTTCGCGTCAGATTCAGAGCTGGGTCTCTGGAAAAACCACTCGGTGGATATGTCGGTCATATAGCCCGGGTCGCTGGTCGATACCAGGCAAGTAAAGTCATCGTGAGACCGTCTGAGACAGAATCACCGCACCGCACCATCTTCCCGTCCTCTCATGCTTCACGATATCCATGTCCACATGAATATGAACATAAATGAAGCAAACCATTAGTACATAGAAGCCTTTATACAGTAATGGGCAGAAATATAGTTATTAAGCCATGATTCATGTGTTAACAGAGATCGGAGAAGTTGATAGGGGGTATTCTTAATCTCAGTTTTAGCTCGTGGGGTATCATTGTCATAATCATCGCTGCCACAGTCTCAAGTCTCAAGACGCCTCAGAACCAGTGGATACATCGTCGAAAGGCCGCTGTCCGTAGACAAAGTGGAAGCGCACATAGAGGTGGAGCGAGCAGTTCATCAACTCCGCCCGCGCCTTCTCCATATGCTCCTGTGCATCCTGATACGAGAGGCCGAGGACACGAGTAAAAAGAGCCAGCGAGTACGGCTCGATGGTTTCCAAGATAGACACCTTGCCGATGCGACCGATTTCTTTGTAGCGGCGGTTCTTCGCCCAGCCACCAACAGGACTCTGAAAGTAAGTCAGTATGCGAAACCACAGCTGGAAAAAAATAAAAAATTGTGGCCATACCTTGTAAACGTCATCAGTAACATTCGCAAACCCCTGCTCATTCATCCACTGCTCAATCTGCGATGCAACATCCATCGGCTTCCCAAACTTCTTACTAGACTGGGTCAGCAACCCCGCCCAGCTATTGATAGCAGTAGCCTGTTCATGGGTCCCATCATCGGAACACACACAACTCTCAAACTCCTGCGCCTCAAACCAGCCACCCGGCTTAAGATGCTGATAGGCCTGCTTAATCAGCCTCGGCCAATCCCCAATCCCACCGGCCAATGTTCTTGCATGGATATAGTCGAACGCCTCACCGGGCGAGAAAGCCCAATCACTCTCCGCATCGTCGATATAGAAGCGGCAATTGGGCGGCGCCCAGTTCGGCTGGATGGGACTGAGATCGGTGCCGATGATATCCGCCAGCGGGTAGTCTTCGGCCATTTCCAGGGCCCATTCTCCGGGGCCGGTGCCGATGTCTAGAATGCGGCGCGGGTTGGAGTCGCGTATTGGTGCGCGGTGCAAATTCCCGCCTGTGAGCAGCTTGAAGAGGTGGTGCGTTATTGCTAGGCGGTCTTGTTCTTCTTGGTCGTTTGGGAAGGGGTATTGGCCGTTGCGGTAGGCGTGATAGCGGCGGCCATTCTCGTAGTTGTAGTCTCGGACGGAGGAGGCAAATGAAAGGTTTGAGCTGGTGAGGGTTTGGATGTCGAAGAGAGAGTCGTCATCGCTTGTCTGGGGGTTGTTAGTGGCGGTTGGAGGTTTTAATATTGAATTATAAATTAGGAGTGGAAATTGGGGTAGTGAGATCAACAATGAGGGTGGCCTGTTGTTTGGGCGCTGGAAGGTATAGGGATATGGGGTAGGAATGGGATCAAAGAAGTGACAGGGAATGATCTACTTACGTCGACTTGGATGCTTTCATTGAGATTGGGTTGTGACATGGTGAGACAGAGGGAGGTGGGGAGATTGAGAGGAGAAAGGGAGAGGTAAAAAAGCGGGAGTTTTTATTCCCTGTGGAGAGAGAGAGAGAAAGTAGAAGAGGAAGTGAAATGAAGCTATCAATTCCAAGAAACCCAAGAAACCCAAGAAACCTAAGATCCCCGAGAAACCCGAGAGAGAGGATACGAGGAGCCCTAGCGTAGCCACTTATCTTTTTTCTTCTACCACCTGGCTGGTTCTGTACCTTTGCTTTGACCCCGCAGTGGGAAATCCGACAGGCTGGTAAGCCCATTCCAAATCGGTCGGGATTTGGATTTTCGATTCCATTTCCGGGATCTCAAGGGACTAGGACTAGGGTTGGGTACTTCTGGCTCTATACCTGCCTCTATGCACTGGGTGTCTTGGCATTGTTTTAATGTAGACTTTGGGTAAGGTTCCAAGCCATGGAGAGCCAGCACGTGTAGTATTCGAATGTCCTGATGGTAGACATACTACTGTCATCTGCTAGACAACTTTCTAATAGGTAAATTTAGGTCACATAGCACCGAGAATATCTACAAGCTAGATTTCATTGAGTTCTCGAAGTAATATTTTTACTTGCTTACTCAAAAATATCCATGCCCTGAGTGAGACGTCATATGCTGATATCATGCCCAGGTGATGCCCAGGTGATCCCTCCACACTTATCAATAGGCCATGGTCACTAGAGAAAACCAGAGGCTCTGCCAGATGTCTGAAAGCGGGGAGAGAAATGACTGACCGCTCATTATCCATAGGAGACGATCCCATCCTGGAGAGATCAGGTATCGTCGCAAAGATCATCACCTGCCCCAACCGAACACCTCAATTCCGACTATTGATAATATTCTTGCCCCAATCCTCAAATCACAGGTCTCCGTATATATCAGGCACGCCATGGATAGCCCCACTGAGTCCCTCTACGGGGAGTATTCCGAAACATGGACCCATCACTGCCTATCTTGTGGATGAGCGATTAGCCATCGTTCTCCTCCGTTCGGCGGAAAGTTGTTGAGACTCGGACGTGCTCAGGCAAATTATGCACGTCCTCAACGACTTGGGAAAGCTCAGTCGGGGAAATCATGTACCGCCCTCTGTCGTTGGGCTTCGTGTGGTTAACCTTTGCGATTCCAGGGTAAAACTAAAAGTCACACTCGACGTTGGTAGTCCCAGTTATAACGTATTCCTGTTGCATGGATTGCGAGAACATTCCGGAAGGTCCACTGGTAAATTCTGGAGTCTTTCAATCTATAAATGCCTGTTAACTGACCTCCATGCTTCTAGGGTATATAACATCCTCAGCCCTGATCTCCCCCTGGAATGACACTGTTGCCGCCCTTGCTTCCCACCTTCAAACCAATCTAGTCATCCACATCAGAGGCACTCCCTCAGCTTAGGCACTCCCCTTCCGTGACAATGGTACGTCTGTCGAGTCGTACGCTGATACACAAGCCCAGCTGGTCGTGCTCCCAAAGCGTACGTTCCAACCACCGCGCTCGGATCTTATCTTCACTGACACAAATCGGGCAAAAACTACTCCACACTACATCCACGAAAGTGAGAATTCAGTCAACCCGAGGGCACAGCAGCAATCCTTCAATCCATCGATCACGTATGCTTATATCTGATATAGAGTGATGTGATATTTATCTAATTTGTTATCAGACTTACCCCGCAATCGCAAAGCTCAAGAAAACGCATCAGCAGCGTGACAACAGCGGGCGGTATATCATATCCCCGACCGAGCTTTCCCAAATCCTTTTTATATCCTTGTCGCGTCTTGATGAATGCTGCCTCCTCGCTGGAGACAAAACAATCAAAATCAGTTGCCACATTGATGATGCTATATAGGTAGTCTTCCTTTGAGGGGAGGTAAAAATGCTAGGGACTATCCAACAATGGAGGGGACTAGCGTGCTACGTTTTAGGTACCTGCCCAGGATGTATCATGCGGCCCCGGGGGCCCAGGTGGCCCCATGGCCCTGCCCAGGTGGAGCCTTCGAGGTAATGGCGTGCTCAGGTTAACGAGTGACAATGAAGCGGTGAAAGGTGAGCACTAACACTTAAGGGGAAGCCAAGAGACACTGTAGGTATGCCCGAGCCAGAGATAGAGCCTAACTCAGCTGGGTACCCTGGGATATATGAAAGGGAACATAAAAAGAAAAAAGTCACCAGAAGAAAGCAAAGAAAAAGGCAAAAAAAAAAAGGCAAAACTCAAAGCAAGGATCACCCCTGGTCTTGGACCCGGGTGTCTGGTACGTCCCCACACGGGACGGATAAACCCTGAGTGGTTCCGACTGGAAGGAATGGGGTTTGCAGAAGCAGGGGTATCCTGACTCTCTCTCCTGCTTCACTTTTCTATGTGTACTTTTGTTTCGAGTTGTATATTGCAACATAGGGAGGCAAAGTCACTAACTAGTTATATATGTATATACATGTATGTATCTAATTATACCACTCCGAATTACCTATCATTATCTCTTGTCAGAGCCTGAAGATTTCAAATGGCTAGGCCTCTAGTCCGTAGCTGAAACTTAATTAAACAAAGAAACGAAAAGTTGCAGATGAACACATGGCGTGCGGAGTCCGGAGTACAGGGGGTGCAAACAAAGAACTGACATTCGTGGACAGCCCCAATTTGGTCCAGGCCAGAAGCTGCCAGGGTCCCTGCTACAAGGATATGCTAATGCTCATTCTACACTAGAATACGGAGTAGGTAGCAAGAAAAAAAAAAAAAAAAAAAAGGTATGCTTACTCTGTACAAGCGACAGATACAAGTCCTTGTATGTTTTATTGGCATCCATGCATCAAACCATTAATAACCCGGGCCCCGAGGAAGAGTACTACTCGCAACCACAGCCTCGAGTAAGAATTCACCCAGCTCCACTCACAGACTCTGCAGCTTAGCTTGCTCATCCGGAGTCAACGCCACATACAATTCTTGGAAACCAGGCTGCGTGGAGGCCTGTCGGAAGAAATCCGCCAGGAAGCCCTGCGTTTCATCGTCTCGGCGACGCACACCGAAGACACTCTCGGAGCCGCCCTCGCCGAAGCTCATCAGCCCCTGCTTCGTCGCTCCGATGCCGAGGTCCAGGACCTGACTGGGGAGATCCTCCCAGTCGTCGTCATCGTCGTCGCTGTCAGCGTCATCCAGGGCCGCCGCAGTGGCGGCATCGATTTCCTTATTGCCGGATGCTGCACCCAGCTCTTCGACCAGAACCTTGATGATCTTCAGTGGTGCGGGCACGGTCGTGAATTGGTCTGGGTTCTTGCGCGCCTGCGAGCGGGTCTTTATTCGGCCAGTATCCTGGATGATGAGGTCGCCTTTGACGGGAACTTCGGCCACACGTGGGTCGGCGAGCTCGTATAGTCGTGCCAGGGCGAAAATGTTCTGTTTGATCTCGTCGTAGCCGGCAAAGTTGACGGAATTCTCAAGCCACTTGCTCAGGACCACGGCGAGTCCGCTCTGGCCGCCCAGGTTGACCTGGGCCAGGAAGTCAACTACCTCGCGTGCGCTGATGAGAGTGAGTCGCGCGAAGACGAGGATAAGACTTTGGATGAATTGCGCTTGCTGTGCTGTCGCCAGTCGCTGCGCCACGGCTTGCAGGAGCTGCGGCAGGTAGGGACCGAGGCGCTCGGAACCGGCCCGTTCAACCAACTCTGCTGCTAGCTGGCCGACCTCTGTGGCTGCGTTGTCATCCACGGCCGGGCCCAGCAGGCGGTCAATGATGACCAGCACAACTTCAAGTGCTTCCTTTCCAGATTGAGGATCACGCCAGACGACGAACTGCGCAAAGTCGTGAGAGAGCATGTGTCGTACGGCCTCTGTGGCGGGCCGGATCAATTCGGCCTCATCAGAGTCTAGCAGCAGGCGGTTCAGCTTGGGCATCACCGTCTCCACGAAACCAGCGGGCATCGGCTCAGGACTCCGCTCGGCCAGAGCGCGAAGAAGATCGGCTGCGAAGTTTGTCAACGCATTCTCTTCAGTTAGGTTGCCCACATCAATTGCGCCCATTAGCGAGGGAAGCACCTTCTCGCAAAGACGCATGTAAGAATCGGGGCCATTGTCGGTAATTTGGTCCACAATATCTTCAAATGCCTCTGTGACAGTCAAGGTCAATTGGAAGTTTTCGGCTCCGCTACTAGCAATGCTGAACAACACGTCAATGGCAGTAGACGATAGAACCACACTAGAATCGGCCATGATAGTGTCCCGGAGGGTTTCCGCCAACGTAACCTTGAGATCATCAGAGTCAGTCTGTTCACGAAGGTCGTGTGCAGAGATGAATTCTGAAATGGCCGCAATCACTGCAGGCTGGAAGGGGCGGGCCAAGCCCGTCGGCAAAGCGGGCATCAGATCTTGTAGCACCCGGATGCAGGCCACTTGGACCACCTCGGCGGGGTCTTCGGCGATCGCCTTCAAAGTAGCCTCCAAATAAGATGATGTGGTCTGTTGGAATGCCTCACCGGCGACCTTGGACAAAGCGCCAGCCACAAGGTAGCCCCGAGCGCGCAAGAGCTCCTGTTCTTGTTGGGTCGCATATTGCACGAATTGGGTGAAGTGGGATGCCAGCTCAGGTGAGATTTCTTGGTCCACTTCACCAAAGTCTCGAAGCAAACAGTTGAGAATGTACAGGGAGGCTTCCCGTGATTTCCATCTATTTGCATCATGGTCAATATAGTTCCACAGCCGAAATATAGAGTGATACTCACGAAACAGACGAATCAGCAAAGATGGTGTTCATGTAGCCCAGTAGACCCTCGGCAGCTGTACCCTTCAGCCATTCACCAGCCTTAATCGCCAGATCTCCGCTGCAAGTTCGAGGGGTGTAGTTTGCCGTGACAGAAGTTTCCTCTGAAAGGAAAAGGTTCACGTCAATCTCCCATAGAGCCTCCTCCTCTGTTGTAATCTGTGCGTAGGAACTGGCGAGCTTCATAATTTCCGGAAGCCAGCTGGACGTGCTGGCAGTCGCACCGGCATTTTGGAGTTGCTGCTGCAGCTCTGCCTTTACCGGAGGTGCCTTCAAGAGGGCCTGGATAATATCGAGCTCCTCCAAAACAAGGAAATCGAGGGAGTGGGGAAGTCCGTCCCCATCCTCCAAACGACTCTGCCTCTCGTTCTCAATGTAGAAATTCTGGTAGATCGGCAATGCGTTGGTGAGTTCTGTCCAGACCGTTGAGAAGAAAAGCGGGCTTTGTGCGGTCAAAAGAGCAGGGAACACCATGCGAATTTTCATAAGGGTCTGTGAACAAAAAAATCATGTCAGCGAAAGTCCGGCAAAACCAAGATGAAAGACCCGCATACCTTGACAACTTGCAACTTTAACCCAACAATTCCCCTCCATTGCGATGCAATTTCCCCTTGTTTATGCTCCTCTTCCTCGCTGGGTGGCTGCGGCAGGGGTGCCTTTAAAGCTGTATCGAAGAACGGCGACCATCCACTGAGCACCTCATCCATGAACTGCTTAATGGCCGTCTTGTGTTGTTCCAGAACCATTTCCAGGGTGTCGAAACAGGAACGGAAGACTGCGACAGCCAGAGCGCGCAGCATTGGCCGTCTGGACTCGGCGGTAGCAACGGCGAAGAGGGACGAAACGAGATCACGGGCGACATTGAAAAACTGCTCCTCACTGAACCCTGTATCAACAAGATCCAAGAGAACCTTCAGCGCACCGTGCATCTGGCCATCGGTACTGGCGGAGTCATTGATTATACGGAGCAGTGAAGGGAGCAGCTCGGGCCAGTCGTCCGGGAAGTCGGCACTGGCGATCTTGCTGACAGCGTAACTTGCAGAGTTCTTCACCTTGCGCTGGGGGGTATCATTTGTCGCGAGGACCAATAGCGCCTGGCGGACGTTGGCTTTGTTCGCATCGTTGATGAGGATTTGTCCTTTAAATTCGTCGAGAATTGGGGACCAGGCGGCGGCAATGAAGGTACGCAAGACTGAGAGGGCAGACTGGCGCAGATTGACTGGAACTGACTCGTGCGAGGCGATTGCTGTGAGTGAGGTTGCGAAGGAATCGTGGGCATAAAGGTTTCCCAGCTGTGACTCTGCGGCTCTTCTGGTATCGGCCTTCGGCGACTGGGTGTCTGCCAGGAGCGACAGGAGTTCTTGCTCCATGGCGAGCGAAGTGTAATCAATGAGGCTGTTTGTGGTTCGGGGAGCAGTCCAGTAAGAGATAGAAGAGAGAAGAAGGAAGGCTTCAAAGCCAATTGGGTCTCAGTCACGAAATATTAAGAATCCAATGTTTTGCGCGTCGACAGATAAGGAGACGCGGAGGAGGGGCATTTCGAAGGCGGTCGGCCCTACAATCGTATATCGCCCCAGTTTTCATATTATTTCCAAGCTTCTTTATTTGCATTTGGTTTACTTGTGTGTTATTATGTTGTAGAGCTCCTGTCAATTGTGCTACCGAGTTATTAACAAGTATACTATTTTGATCATCTACGGGTACCATTCTTTATATGACCCTACACCCGTGTCCTTGAGTCCCTGGTTATACAGTACGTTTGATGCTTTTTACTGCCATCGTATATTGTACATAGTAAAGTTAAGCCCAACATGTCTACTCCGTGCTATTGATCCCATTCCTGGTGGCACTGTTGCTGGTACTGCTGGTTACTATCCTTCTACCTATAACACCGCGAATAAAAAAAATTCTAAAGAAAGTAAGACATCTAAAAGAACATCTCAAAGGGATATATGAGTGTTATCTCACATATAATTCCCCCAATACCATCTTGAGCCAGATACATCAGCTTATTAAAGTCCAAAATCGTCAAGGACAGAGGCCGCATACGCGGCCGATTACTCTTGTAGATCATTATATTTCTAAGTCCATACGTACCAGC